GGAGGGGGGCAAGGGGGAATCACCGCCACTCGGTCACCACCCGTTGGGTGATTGTCGAGTTCGGATCGAAGTGTTCGGTATAAGCGGTCTAGCTTCGCATAGTCCGAATGAGTATCACTCCCACGCCACGTTGAGGCGCTAGACCATATGGGAGATATAATTTCAAAAACGTTTTTCTCGCGATATGCGTTTTCCTGCGCGTTCACATTCCTTCCAATATATCGTTATGCTTCCCTCAACTATTTCTATCTGATTGTCGATACCTAATCCGCCCAATGTGCTTTTCCCTGCAAGCATACAATTTCTATTCATTCTATGCTCGGAACTCATAACGTTAACTTGACCCATTTCTTTTCAGGTCCAACTTCGACCAAAATCTTATCCTCATCGTATTATACGATTCGTATATCCATGCGGCTCAAGAAAAGAAAACGAGCTCATAATCTCGACTGATGCCTCACAACTGCATAACAGCATGCCAAGGTTGTTCACGTTGTGGCGAAACGTTGGAGCATCATGCCTGTCTATATTAGTACTTTATCCAGTCTCATACATTGCTATCTGTCCTTGGAGCGTAGCGACTTCCGGAGCGTAGCGACGGGGTTCCACTAGTTATTAAGAAACGCGCGCAGTTTACATGCAGATTGCAAGACAAAAGTACTAATGAGTGTACAGAGTAAAGCAGGAAGAAGAAATATCTGAGCAGCGACGGTTGTTCGATGTTGATTCTGCACAAACAATGTTGAACAACGGTTGAATTGAACCTCTAAATGGATAGGGTATAACAATATTTTTTTTGGTACTCCATGGAAAAGAGAGGTAAAGTGCCAACCAGAAGGGTTGAACATGAAGTAGGTAGGCAGAACATAATATTGCACACTTGTGACCACCTGTGTGTGTTAAAACGGGGGCATGAGTACCACAGACTGCAGTTATGGAAAGGAGTCATAATTTGGAGAAAACTACGACTCCCATACTAGCAGGTCAACTCAAAACGCAAGACGTGAACCCGAATAGAAACCAAGTTCACTTTCTCTTCTTCGGCTTAGCCGATCGTTTCTCTCGAGCTTCCCTGATCTTATCGGCGAGCCTATTGGCAACGACTTTTCGTTTCGCCTCGGAGCCCGCGATAGATGGATTGACGAGCCCTTGGCCGCGAGTATGAGATGTCATATCTCGCTTGTATGCTGCCTGAAAAAAGAGATGCTGGATATTCCATGCACCAAACTGTTTCAAACGTACTCGAGCCGCCTTCGACGCCTTGTCTCCACAGCCATGGACTTCTGCGAGTATATGAGAGTAGCAGAATCTTCGTTCACAGTACTTGCAGGGCAAACCATACGTAGAGACCACTGATGCACCTGAAGCCTCTCATCACAACAACAAAGCAGCGTAGATGTTTACAATCGGCATATGCACAAATATTCGGAGGCTTGTCAGTCTTAGTCAGCGCCTTAGGATCTCCACATTGCCTCTTGGGCCGAGCTGTGACTTTCCCTTGCCGATGCGCTGGTGCGGAGGAAGCCGAATGTTTCGCTTCTATCTCTTTCGCCGGGCTTTTGTCACCTTGAGAG